GTGATGGGAAGGAAACTGGGACTCAAAACAGTAGAGTGGTCCAGAAGGAAGAAAGAAACAACCAAACAGGAAAGAATGGAGAAATAAGAATTCAAAAAAATGAGAAACTTAGGAGCCTCCAGGACATCTTTAAACGTTCCAACATCCGAATTATAGGGGTACCAGAAGGGGAAGAGGTAGAGCAACAGATTGAAAATGTATTTGAACAAATAAAGGAGAAATTTCCCATTCTGGCAAAGGAAATAGACTTACAGGAAGTCCAGAAAGCTCAGAGAGTGCCAAAGAACTTGGACCCAAGGAGGAACACACCAAGGCACATCATAATTACATTAGCTAAGGTAAAAATGAAGGAGAGAATCCTAGAAGCAGCAAGAGATAAGGGGACAGTCACCTACAAAGGAGTTCCCATCAGACTGTCAGCTGATTTCTCAAGAGACTTTACAGGCAAGAAGGGGCTGGAAAGAAGTATTCCAAGTCGTGAAAGACAAGGACCTATATCCCAGACTACTCTATCCAGCAAAGCTTTCATTTAGAATGGAAGGACAGATCAAGTGCTTCTCAGATAAGGTCAAGTTAAAGGAGTTCATCAATACCAAGTCCTTATTCTATGAAATGTTAAAGGGACTTATCTAAGAAAAGAAGGCCAAAAAAACCAAACATGTATAGTAAAATGACAGCAAACTCACAAGTATTAACAACCATACCTAAAGCAAAACCAAAAGAAACTAAGCAAACAACTAGAACGGGAACAGAACCACAGAAATGGAGATCACATGGAGGGTTAGCAACAGGGGAGTGGGAGGAGGAGAGAGGGGGAAAAGGTGCAGAGAATAAGTAGCATAGATTGTAGGTAGGAAATAGACAGGGAGAGTAAGAATAGTATGAGAAATGTAGAAGCTGAAGAACTTACAAGTATGACACATGGACATGAACTAAAGTGGGGGGAAAGTGGGTGGGAGAGGGTGTACAGGGTGGAGGGGAGTGAAAGGGGGAAGTGGGACAACTGTAATAGCATAATCAATAAAATATATTAAAAAAAAGGCCAAGTCAATGCCAGGTTTCAAGACTTTTAAAAGGACAGAGTAACAGTATTGCAGGGTGCCAGTGTTACAGGCTGCAGATTCAAACCATCCACACTTTATTATTATTATTATTATTATGTTTAATTTTTTTATTTAACTGAGGTACTTGGTACTTTTTCTCAAACACTTTAACCCACTAATTCCATTTTTGGTTTTTTGCTTTAAAGTAGTAACAGGAAAAATAAAAACATATATGTATAAATATATTGTGTGTGGGTATATGTGTAATGATATATGTACATCTATGTATGTATAAATATACCTAGATTTTCCTGCTTTTTTTAACTGACAACTACTATGAAGCAGTTTTTAGAGGATCCATTTTGCAAAATCTGTGTGCGCATTCATATTAATAGTTAATTGTTTGCATCCTATTTCGGAATTTCACCAAATAAAAGTTGTAGGAATTGCTGAACTTTGAATATTAAGATTATTTTTATAAAATATCCTAATCTGCCCTGGCTGGCGTAGCTCAGTGGATTGAGTGCGGGCTGCGAACCAAAGCATCACAGGTTCGATTCCCACTCAGGGCACATGCCTGGGTTGCAGGCCAAGGCCCCCAGCAACTGCACATTGATGTTTCTTTCTCTCTCTCTAAAAATAAATAAATAAAGTCTTAAAAAAAAAAGTCACTTAAAATAAAATATCCTAATTTGCCCTGGCTGGTGTGACTCAGTGGATTGAGTGCTGGCCTGTGAATCACAGGGTCGCTGGTTTGATTCCCAGTCAGGGCACACACCTGGGTTGTGGGCCAAGTCCCCAGTTGGCGCAAGAGAGGCAACCACACATTGATGTTTCTCTCCCTCTCTCTCTCCCTCCCTTTCTCTAAAAATAAAGGGTGGGAGGGAGGGAGGAAATTTACAGGGAACAAAAGATCTTTGTCTCTTCATATGGCTTTGAGTTACTGACTATAGCCTTTTTAGGTCACCTGCAGAACTCCCTTAAGCATTTCTTGTATGGCAGGTCTCTAGTGGTAATGAACCCATTCAGATTCTGTTAATCTGGGAGTGTCTGTAATATCTCCCTTGCTGTGGAAGGACACTTTTGTTGGATATACACTCCTTAGTTGACAGTGTTTTTTTTTTTCCTTTTGGCACTTGAAAAATATTTGCCTACTTATTTCTTCAAAATTTTTTGATGAGGTATCTGATGACAGCCTTATTGAGGATCCTTTATATGTTTAGAGTTGTTTCTTTTCTGTATCTTTAAAGTTTCCATGTTTGGCTTTTGAAAGTTTGATTGTAATATGTCTCTGTGTAGGTCTCTTTGAGTTCATCTTGTAGTTCACTAAGCTTCTTGGATGTTTATATTTATGGCTTAGATCAAATTTGGGAAGTTTTCAGCTACTATTTCTTTAGATATTTTATCTGCCCTTTTCTCTCTGTTTCTGGGACTCCCAACCATACATATATATTGATCCATTTTATGGTGTCATACAGTTTTCTAGGCTCTATTCAGTTTTCATTTTTCTTTCTGTTCCTCAGACTTGATAATTTCCATTGTCCTGTCTTCATGTTGGCTGATTCTTCTGCTTGCTCAAATCTGCCTTTTAATTATTCTAGTAAATTTTTCACTTCAGTTGTATTTTTCAACTCCAAAGTTACTTTTTTGTTTCTTAAGGTTTCAATTTCTTTAATGATATATTCATTTTGTCCAAATTTTTACTTTTGGCACATTTTCCTTTAGTTCTTGGGCATCTTTAAGACAGTTGGTTTAGTCTCTGTCAGATAGACCTGCCATCAGGTCTTTTTAAAGGACAGCTTCTGTTCATTTATATATTTCGTTTGAGCTCAACATTCCTGTTCTTTGTATGACTTGATACATTTATTTGAAACCTGGATATTGAATCCAATAATTTGATATCTCTGAAAAGCTGATTTCCCTGTTCCACGGAGCTTTGCTGTTTCTTTGTTATTCTGCAAGCTTCTAATATAGTCTAGAATTCCAAAATAATACATTGGACAGATTCTGCTGTTAAAGTTGCTTCTTAGGTGTACAGACAGATTTTTGGTGCTATTATTTTGCCATTTTCCCATACCCATATATGACATCAGATTTTAAGTACTTTTGCTTGTTTTAATTAGATACTGCAAGGACAGAGATTCACTTAATTTTGCTCCATGATCCTCATTCACATGACTCTTTAATGGCTTTGCAAATTTTTGTGATACGAGAACAAAGAACAAAGTAGGAGGGATCTCAATACCTGATATCAAACTGTACTACAAGGCCACTGTAATCAAAACAGGCTAGTACTGGCATAAGAACAAACACAAAGATCAATGGATCAGAATAGAGTGCCCGTTCTGAAATAAAACTGATGATAATAGAAATAAACCAATGTCTCAATGGTCAATTAATACTCGACAAAGTGGGTAGGAACGTAAAATGGAATAAAAATAGCCTCTTCAACTGATGGTGTTAGAAGAACTGGATAGGTACATGCAAAAAATTAAAACTATGCCACCAACTTACACCATACACCAGAATAAATTCAAAATGGATAAAAGACTTAAACATAAGTTGTGACACAATAAAAGTTCTAGAGGAGAAAATAGACAGTAAAATTTCAGATATCCCCCACAGCAGTATTTTCACTGATACATCCTTGAGAGCAAGGAAAATAAAGGAAAGAATAAACAGCTGGACTACTTCAGATTAAAAATCTTTTCTTCAGCTAAAGAAAACATCATTAAAGTGAAAAGGAAAAGAACAGTATGGCAAAACATATTTGCCAACCATACCTAGGACAAGGTCTTGATCCCCCAAGTATTTGAAGAACTCAAAGGACTCAACACCAGGAAGAAAGACGGTCTAACTTAAAAATGGGCAAAGGCTACGAACAGACACTTCTCCAAGGAGAACACACAGAGAGCCCAGAGACATATGAAAGGAGGTTCAGCATCACTAACCATCACAGAGATGCAAATTGAAACCACAATGAGATACCACCTCACGCCCATCAGAATGGCCATTATTAATAAATCAACAAACAAGTGCTGGGAAGGATGTGGAAAAAAGGGAACACTAATGCACTCTTGGTGAGAACACAGACTGGTACAGCCACTGTGAAAAACAGTATGGAATTTCCTCAAAAAACTAAAGATGGAACTGCCTTTTGACCCAGTGATACCACTGCTGGGATTATAGCCTAAGAATCCTGAAACACCAATTCAAAAGAACCTGTGCAGCCCTGTGTTCATAGCTGGGTTATTTACAATAGTCAAGTGCTGGAAATAGCTTAAATGCCCATCAGTAAATGAATGAATCAAAAAACTGGTATTTTTACACAGTAGAATACTAGGCAGCAGAAAGAAAGAAGGACTCCTACCTTTCATGACAGCATGGATGGACTGGAGAGCATTATGCTAAGTGAAATAATCCAGGTGGTGAAAGACAAATACAATATGATCTCACCTATAAAAGGAACCTAAAGAACAAAAACCTAATGAGCAAAATAGAACCAGAGGCATGGAAATAAGGAACAGAGTGACAGTGACCAGAGGGGAAGTGTAGGGAACTAAGGGGGGAAAGAAGGGGAAGAATGTAGTCAAGGAACTGGTATAAGTGACCCATGGACCTGGACAACAGAGTGAGGATTGATTGAGGGAGGTGGTGGGGGTAGGGGAGGAGGCAGGGAAGAGCAATGTGGGAAAATTCAACTGTAATAGAACCACAATAAAAATAAAAGTTATGTGATAAACATGTATTTCTGATGAGAAAAAATATGATCCCAAAAATATAGATGTCTATAAAAAGCAGAAATTAGACCAATACATATTTGAAAAAAAGTAGATTGTCAGCCTTGAACATCTGGGATAATAATAGTTTTCTTTCAAAAGGCATCCATATATTCTTTTTATCCCCTAAACAAAAGCCCAGTGATAATTTAGATGTTTTTTTTTATTATGTTTACAGGTGTTTTTCCATGCCATTTGCAACAAAACGAACATTGCAGAAGTGGTGTCACTAATAGCTGCTGCTTATAAGTAAGTTATGTGATCTTGGGCAAGTTATTTAAAATCTTTGTGCCTATTTTCCACTCTTATAGAAAGTGTTGTCTAAGGTCCTTTTCTTTCCTAAAACCATAAGTTTGTCCTTTGTTTTGTACTCATATAGCTTTTCTGCTTTTATATTCAGCTGTCTTATTCCAGTCAGATTTTAAGCTTCTCGAGAGACCAACTTTTATATTTCATCTTTTGCATGGTGCTTGGTATAGGGTCTTGTAATAAATGCTTGCCAAATACTTTTAGATTGGGTTGATTGAGAATTTTTGCCATCAACTTGGAGCTACTTGATTTTCTCACTAACTATAATACAGGGAGGCATTTATGCAGAATATTTATTTAATCATTTTCATATTGCTTTCTTTTTTTTGTCAGTTGAAATGTCATTTTCAGTAACAATTTGTGTTTTCATGTAGGAAAAATGTTTCTTTAAGCAGTGTTTGAAACTGAAGCCATAAACTTCTTTATCTGTATGTCACCCATGTACATATAGAAATGCACACCTACACATGGATATGGAAAAATGTGCCAAATATGTATTTGTAGCATCTTGTTAATTTATTGCACCAGAAGAACTTACTGTGAAGTGTTATCACCGCATAACTTACAGTCTTACCAAAGAATTTATATAAAACAGTAATATTCAAAATTAGGTTTAGTTTTTGTCATAATGTTGTGTGCTATTGCTAGTCAGTAAGCTGAGAGCTGAATTTTGTTAATAGACTAGATATAAAAAAAACAAAACTCTAACTTGAGGGACTGTCCCAGGCATCCGTCCCCAATGGTTTTGCCTTCATGGTTTAGTGTTCTGTTACTCTGAAAGACAGTATCAGAACCAGCCTAAGATGTAGGCATTAAGGTGGCTGTGCATACTGAGTAGATTTTTGTTTATCATCCCTAAGGTGGGAAAATACTTGACTTCTGGCTGGATATCAAGCTGTATGTGGGAATGAGTTACTAGTTCGCTTCTTTTCTCAAAGTTGTTTTAGAAGTTAAGAGACTTCCCTATGTAATAATTTTTATTGTTATTCAAACAGTTAATCTAAAATATACTATGTAGAGACAGTGAAGTAGAGGAAGGGGCTGTGAGGGAGGGTTTGTAACTGAAGAAGGCATCATGAGAAAGAAGAGTTATGACTGCTCATGAAATCTCAGGAACATTAAAGGATGTACTTCATAATTCTTAGGAATTTTCCACATGTAGTTTTGAAAAGCATAGCAAGGGGTGATTATATGATAAATAAGCCATCTCAGTTGATAAGTACAAAGTGCAAATATACACAATTGAGTCTTGAACTTATTCATTTAGTCATCCTGTTTTGGTTAACATGTTTTTAAAACTTTAACATCCCAAATGCAGTTCATGGTATGTAGTCAATGAATATATTTCCGTATTTCACCTTTTAACATTTCTTCAATTATAAAGGTGTAAATTCTAGGGATCTTAGTGTTATGGGAAATGAAGACCGGCTGTTCTGAGCAGGTGACATATATATTTATAATTCTGTCATTTCTGTACTTTGTCAGTGCAAGGACAAGTTTTATATGGCTAGTACTTTTTTGATTTATATTATAGATGTACTCTGGAATTGGTACAGTGAGAATCTTCTCTACCATATATATGTAGCCACTTTTATTTATGTGTCAGAACTGAAAACAATGACCTAAGACAGTAGAAAAGTAAGAGCTACATTGCCACTCACTTATTTGAGCCAATAATGTAGACCAGTGGTTCCTAGATCTGATGGTACAGTAGAGTCAGTTAGGAAGCATTGTCTAGATTCCCAGATTTATGACTGAGACCCAGAAATCATGTTTTAATAGTTTTACAAAGTTATTATGATATTTGGAAAACTGATATAAAGTAAATATTTAATTGATTCTTTGTGTATGGTTCTAGTTATATGTTAATGGTACCCTTTGTCCAAAATTCATGAGTGCACGTATATTTTCCTTTGCCTTTTAAAAGTAAAAAGTGATAATTTGTGAGTTTGTACTCTTGTTTTATGGAGAAGAATGCTTTCATTGTACATTCCACATTAAAGGTATCTTGCTAAATGCACTGAGATGTAAGAAATTTTAAATAGTGTAATCCCCTGGCTGGCGTAGCTCAGTGGATTGAGTGCGGGCTGCGAACCAAAGCATCACAGGTTCAATTCCCAGTCAGAGCACATGCCTGGGTTGTAGGCCACGGCCCCCAGCAACTGCACATTGATGTTTCTCTCTCTCTCTCTCTCTCTCTCTCTTTCCCTCCCTTCCCTCTCTAGAAATAAATAAATAAAATCTTAAAAAAAAAATAGTGTAATCCCATTGTAGATGAATTGGCCATAAACTAACTGCTTACAAGTTGACTCTACTACACTACATAGGCCCTAAGAATGTTGTATTATAATTAGAGAGGTGAGAAGAATTACTAGAATTCAGAGAAATTTTAAAATTGCCTGCCCTGATCAGGTGGCTCAGTTAGTTGGAACGTTGTCTCATACAACAAGAGGTTGTGGGTTCAATCCCCAGTCATGGCACATAACCTAGGTTGGGGGTTTAGTCCTGAGTGGGAACACGTGCATGGGAATTGGGGTGGGGGCACAATTGATGTTTCTCACATCAGTGTTTCTCCCCTTCTCTCCCTTTCCTCACCCCCAGTCCTGTTCTCTCTAAAAAGCAATAAGCATATACTTGGGTGAAGTTTAAAAAAAATTAAAGTTGTCAGTAGCTTTGACTTTTTCTCTATTGATAGCTTCTAGATGAAAATAAAATATCTGGGTAGCCTAACTAGGAAGTTTTGGGTGTAGTGCTCTAGGTATGGACATTTAAGAACATCTAGAGGAAAGACCATTAATGAAAAACAAATCTATTGTTTTGTGAATGGTGTATTTTACTTGCCTGTTTATGAATGAATATACTAGCTTGGGTAGTTTTATGTGAGCATATTTACATATGGGTAGAATTCCCTTGTTTATTTTTAGTTGTCTGGTTAAGAGTTTTTAGTGTCTTCACATTTTAAGTAATTTTTTAAAGAAAATAAACTAGTCACTGCCTTATTTGTTTTCTGAACCATTTGGTTTGCTGGTAATATATAGAGAAAAGGTCATATAATTCAGGCAACTTTAACTCGTACATAAGTACATTAAATAAATGAAGGTAGTAATTAAGTTGGTTAAATGTGTATTCACCAAGACCAGCACATAGAAACAATGAATGGTGTGTTTCTTGTTTTGTTAGTTAATTTATTTTTAATGCTCTTAACAGAATATCTGCAGTGATTTACCTGGATTTTCAGTGCAGTCATCTCATTCACAGCAGTGTTTGAAGCAGCTAGCCTTTGCCAAAGGAAAGTACCTTCCTTTTGTGGATCTTAGCAGTAATTTTCTCCATTCTGTTTTCACTGCAGCTGTAAGGGTCTCATATGTGACACTGACTGCTCAAGAGATCAGTGTCTAGAGGAAGTGGGGAAATTAATGCCAACCTAAGTTGCTTAGGTTTTGTTTGTTTGCTTATCCTCACCTGAGGACATGCTCTCACTGATTTTAGACAGATGGAAAGAGAGGGAGAGAAACATCAATCAGGCAACCGCACATGCCCTGACCAGGGACCAAATCCACCACCTAGGCATGTGCCCTGAGCGGGGATCAAATTCACTACCTTTTACTTTACAAGAGGACGCTTCAACCTACTGAGCCACACCAGCCAGGGCACAGTTGCTCAGGTTTTATAAAAAGGATCCCATTGGCATTTACCAAGCACTCTACATGCATGCTCTGTGACATTAATCCAGTTTTCTTCCAGCTCTGAAGTTCATCAGAATAATAACTTATAGTGATGATTTTTTTTTTTTAAGGAGAAGGTTTCTAACCTTAAAGATTCAGGTATGTTGCCTTGGGATTTTTTGTTCTTTAATGAGCATTCCTACTTTTTGCTCATGTCTTCTGATATAGTGCTTGTAGTATTGCCCACTTATTTGGCATCACAGTAACTGAAATAGTCTGTCCAACAGTGCCACAGCATTAGTGCTTAGTCAATTCCTCCTTCATCTTGTAGTTGAGACTGTGAAACTGGAAACTTCAGTTAGCTTCATTAATTAGTTGGCTTCATCAGAGGAAATTATCTATCCTCATCTCTTGAATCAAGCACATCTTTTTGGGTTTCTTACATTAGAAGCCTTTTTTGATACCAGTCTTACACTGGTATTCACTTGATAACTTTTTTAAAGTATTTTTTTGGTACTAATTTGTACTTTTAATATTTTTACTCTAAGCATTTTAATTTTTCCCAAGGAATATTGATAAATCAAACACTATTATAAAAACATTGTCTTCTATGTTCAAATATACATATAGAAACAATTTAAAAACTTACTGCATGAAATAAAGCATTTTTCAAAAAAAAAACTTTTTTAGTTAGGGGATAACATATAAAACATCCAGGCAAATCTTTATTTCTGTAATTTTACTCTTTTATTTAAAGAATTTAACGAATATCTAGGCAATCAAAAAACAAATCTTCCAAGCAGATTTGAGAGCTATATATTTTTTAGCATAGCCTCAGAAGGCTCTCTGAATTATGATGATGGGACAAAAACTTTTATTATGGGTTGCCCAGAAAGTTTGTTTAGTTTTTTCCATAAGATGGCTCTAATAGCACTTACTTGTCTTTAACTTCATTTGAAACAATTTTGTTAGAGTGTATTGTGACAGCTGTCATATCAGTGCATTAAAAAAGATCAAAATTGGTGAATTTTTCTTTAACCATTTTCATATTGGAAAATGAAGAAAATAGGTGACTTTCAGCATATTTGCTTTATTATTTCAAGAATGGTATAAACAGAGAAAGATTTCTTCAGTGTACAGAGAACGTGCTGTGACTAATCAAAAATGTCAGAAGTGGTTCGTGAAGTTCCGTGCTAGAGATTTCTTGGTGGATGATCCTCCATGGTCGGGTAGACCAGTTGAAGTTGATAGCGATCAAATGGAGACATTAATTGG